AATACTTCACTGGCCAGTCTGTCAGCAATGGTTTACAATCAAACTAAAATGAAAGACTCTATCTTCAAGAGTGACAGTAAAGAGAAATCTAGAAAATAACTTCAACTTCTTTTGTTTCTAACTTTTTCCCCACCCTGCTTCCATCTCTGTCTTTAAGATTAATAAACATTAAAGCATGAATTAAATTAAAATAAATTAAATCCCTTCTTTTAATGTCAAAATTGTGATTAATCCTGAATATATTGTCTCGTACTTGGTTCGTTTATCTATTTTTTTTAGCCAGCAGTCTCTTAGATCGTTAGAGACACTGTAGTCATAAGGCTCAAACATACTTGCTTTTGAACAACGTGTACACGTAGACAACCTGCTGTGTTTTGAACATCAATGATCACATACAAGGTGTGTTACTGGAGGCTTCCTCTAGAGGGAGCACCACATAAATCAGACAGCGTAAAACACAGAAGCAGAGCTAAGCTGTCGCCAGCTATTTTGGCATGCATATTTGACGCTTTGCAACGGCAATAACACATCATAGTGCGGGTAGTTGCAGACTTGATTTATTAACTTTTCATCAAAACTTTCAGCCATTGTTGTAGCGGCTCTCTGGCTCTCTGATGTTGTCATTTCCGGTCTCTTCAGCATACAGCTCTACACTGCTCCTTTAGCGGTTATATGCACATTTGCATCTCACGCACGCGTAGCGTTAATTTCTGAAAACGTGCCAACACTCTAAACCACCGCAGGATACGCAAGGCTGATGTCATGCATTTTTCTTTGGTTTATTTGGCAGGGACAGATGCAGAATACATGCAGAACTGAACAACAATTTTACAACGCACCACAGCATTTATAGCTAATGCTAATTTCCAATGCCTGTCCCTGAAAAGGCCTTCAATATAAAATACATAATGTATTAAGCTGATCTACCCACTCACATACATATACAGTAAATACATCTATACTTTCCACCCTCCATCCCCCTCCCCTCCCACTAACACAAGACACATGACATTGTTGGTTGTTTTTAAGGAATTCTTTCAATTTCATTTCAAAATATTGGCAACTGGTTTATCTTAAGTTCGGTAGGACGTGTATTCCATAAATTGGCTGGCCAAAGGAGGTACTTTGATGTGGTACTTTACAGTTTCCTGCTGTCGTATTTCTGGTTGAGAATCCAAGGGCCTTTCAAGGTCGCACCATGTCACAGAGAACCAGAACCTCATTCGCAAGTAGGCCCCTACTTGCGAATGAGGTTGGCATTTGCAAATATGATGTAGTTGTTGTAACTTAGCATGTTCAGGTTTTTCAAGACATAACAATGGTGAGACCTAATGGGCAGTTGGACTTGCCTGTGACCATGGGGTGTCATAGCTGAGGTGTGAGAGCATCATGGCATGCATAAATGTTTTAGCTGCATCTACGTGCATACGCAAAGTTAAAAGCAAGTTTACTCAGCGCTTTTTAGTGCACGATAAGTTTTGTGAATAATTGCCTGGTTCAATACCCAGAATGTAAAACAACAGATCTTCTGGTTTGTGATGAAGAACATATGAAGAACCTCTTCCTACAAAGAGTACAATAATAAATAATAAATTGTTTTTCTTAGTAATAATAGATAATTGTTTTAAATGTTAACTATAAAACGTGTAAAATAAACTACCTGAAAAAGAGTCTTTAAAAATAATAACGTTTTAACAGTAGGTTAAAATAAAATCCATTGACTCAAAAAATAACTTTTCTATCAACCAAAGAGGTAAAAAATGGCCCTGAAAAGACCAATATGTTTGTCATTCTTTTTTTTACAGGGTCTATGGCACTCAGCTTCCATTTATTCCTGTGGAGGACATCAATCTTTAAAAGCTTGGTTTAAAAGAAATCTCTGCAGGAGCCTAAGACAGGAAGCAGTGCATTTGTTGGGGACTACTTTCAGCAGTGGATTAATCCATGTTTGGGGCTCTGCTGAGTATTTGGGCTAGCAGGATGATGTTTGTTGTCTTTAGTAAAAAATCAAAAAATTACTTGAGTTTTGGACATGCACAGAGAAAAGGGTTTATCACATTTTTGGTTACACAGATCAAACATTTGTTTCTGCATTCGGTAGTTGTTGTCAAAAAAGGTAAATGTGATATCTAAAAAGTCATGCAATAACACAGATATCGTTGGTATGAAGTGTGCATATAGTAAATCTGTTGCTTGATGCATAATGCAACTTGCCGTTAATTGGCTAACAGAATTAGCATTGTGATCATGGTAGTTTCCACTTAAGAATCAATTTATTTAACTTTATGTTTAGTAAAACAGATTGGTTCTTCAGTTGAGAGGTACTAAGTTAGTTTCTTAGAATCTTTTCAGACTATAACACCAGTTGTGTCATTGGTGAAAAGGTCGATGGCCTGGGGGCTGAAGGAATATAGCCCAAATGATCAGCATTTCACCTAGTGATGTGGAGGGGTCGTCACAGGAAGTAGATTGAATGATGTAATGAGCTATGTTTTGTTTTCTTTATGCAAAAACTTCAAACCACCAGTGAAAAAAGCCGTTCACATATGAAATAATGTAATTTACTTGTGAAAATATGAATTTACTATCGGAACATAAACATTCATGTGAAATAGCCAATCAATTGTCTCTAGTTCACACGGGACAATGTTTTCTTTTGAAAAATATCCCTTTTTTTCCCCACATTGTCTTGATTGGTTAAACAAAATTAAAAGTGCTGATTTGAACCAACAGGAAGGAGAAGACGGTGAGAGTGGACATTAGATCAGAGAGGGGATGAGAAGGTTGGAGTGACAGATTGTTTTTTAGCCATGAAGATGAAGATGTTTTTTTATGAGCACATGATCCTGCATTCATGTCAACACAATGGATGTGAATTGCAAAAAGTTTAATGTCTAAAAACAAATAAGTCATGAGTCTTTGTGACTTTGCAACAAAGGATACTGTGACAATGCCATTTGTGGTCAGTTTGCAGCATCGTCTTTAAGTTTCCAACATTTCAGACATGTCAATGAAGCAAAACTGACTGAGGTAGCATGATGCGTTCCCATGCCAGTGTTCTCCTCTGCCCCCTCACTGTGGGATCAGGGAGGAGGAGGAGGAGGAGGAGGATGCTTGTCCTGCTTCACTTGCCATCATTAGGGAGGAGATGCACTGACCGAGCCAGCGGCCAGGGGCTGGGTGGGAGTCAGTCAGAGTCACAAAGGAATGTACCATTAAAGCTTCAAAGAGAGAGAGGGGGGGGCTGCACTGCGAGCGATTAGGAGGGGGGCGTTAGTTTCAGCCTTTACTTCTGTTGGAAGTATGTTTCATCTTGTTGAGTGAAATCCTTAGTTTAGTGCTCTCATACTGGTCTTTTCCCATCCAACAAACCTTTTTATTTCTCTTACAGTTTATTCATTCATTTTTAATGACTTCAACCTCACTTTTTATGTATTTATCTTTTATTTATTGTTTTTGTCATACAGTAAAACCTCTGTTGATAGCCCAGGCTTTTATTTACTTTAGTCTATGAACTGACCCTATCTTTTGGACAGGCGTCTATATAAGACATGCCTTTTAATTATTTTCAAACAACACTCAAAATAGTAACTTAACACAAAATTAGGGATTGACAAATTTTAATAAGAAATCACTAATTTGATCTTGCTTTGTGAAGACAGCCTATCTCTGCCACCCTGCTGCACTGTGGGGGAGGTAGAGAGAGAGACCTCTGTTAATACAATCACTAACAAGATGCTGTGCTGGACTATGTGGAGCTGCATGAACATAGCAGAATGTCTTCAGTTATAGATTTATAATTTCACATGAAAGATGTTTTTATCATTTCAACATTTACCGTAAAACTTCAGACAAAAGCCCATCCCAATTTAGGGCCCAGTCCCTTTTCGTAGCCTGGTGTAGCTGCATGTTTTAACAAATAAAGCATTGATTAGTTTGCAGATTAAAAATATGGAGAGAAAGCAGCAAGACACAAAAACAAGATAACCTTCAATATCTGTCCAAAAAATTGATAATGATGCTTGTAACCAGCCGTGCAGCAGGCCAACTCTTGATTTGTAACTAAATGTGTTTATCGATATCCTAATTGTGTGCACAGTTAAATATTATTTCTGAGGTAAATTCAAAATTATAATCTTTACTAGCTGTGGTTCAGTGGTAGAGTCTGTCGTTTTCTAGTCGGAAGGTTAGGGGGGGTTCGATCCCCAGCTCCTGCAGCCACATGTCTGATGTGTCCTTGGGCAAGACACTTAACCCCAAGTTGCTCCCGCTGCTTCATCAGCGGTGAATGAATGTGTATGAATGGGATTAGTAAATACTGATGGTCACTTTCCACAGCAGACTCTGTCATCAGATTGTGAATGTGTAGGTGTGACATGCAGTGTAAAAGCTCTTTGATTAGTTAGAAGACTAGAAAAGTGCTTTACAAGCTCATATCTACCATCTTTGCCGTGCACAAGTTTTGTTAAAGAATAATTAAAAGGCTTGTCTCGTATTGATACCTGTCCCAAATAAAAACAGGCTCATTTTATAGATAATAAAAGCCGAGCTATTATGAGAAGATTTATGGTATTTTCATCTCTTAAGACAGCACAAGTTCATCTTCATTTTGTGTGTCTTGTGTTGCTTTTTCTCCTTATTTTTGATCAACAGAACTAAACGCACTGAATGCATTTGTGCTTCTAAATGAGATCTGATTTTTTTTTGTTTTTGTCAAAACGTGCAGCAACACCAGGCTATTTAAAAGGGACCACACCCTTAAATTGGGATGGGCCTTTATTTGACGTTTTATGGTATTTTTGACTGTTGGTTGAAAGGAGAAGAAAATAATAAAGTAAGTTCAAACAAAAGGAAAACCTTACTTCCTGGTTATCATGTCCTTTTACTTTATTTATCCTCCCACACACACACACACACACACACACACACGCGCACACACACACACGCGCGCACACACACACACACACACACACACACACACACACACAGTTGAGGACACGTTTGATAACAGCCACCTTTTATTTCCAGTTGAAGCACCACTTTTCCCTCTATATTTACATAACAGTGTCACTATCCACTTGGATTAAAAGTATGCACATCTCACTTTACAGACAGCTCATCAAATGCAGTCATCATAAAATACATTGTTGGGAGAACACACGTGACAACTGAGATCTCACTGAGAGTCCAGAAACAGCCAAAAGCCACTCTGATGTGTCACATTAGTGCTTTATAGTGGAGTCCAGTATTGGCTACAAACCGCAAACAGTGAATGAACAAATCCTCCTCTTCATGTACTGGTCTACAGAGTGCTGTACATGGTACAACTCCAGTGTCAAATCACTACATTCCTGTACATAGCTGGGCTACGTATGTATGCTGTAGATGTTTTTTTTTAATGAAGTCTAAGCGCTGTGTAACAATCTGTCTGTACAATACTATAATGTTGCACAAACAGACTTCTTACAGCGAGGTTTCTGTCACTGACCTCTCATCATGAAGGCTTTAATCTGTACTAACATGTGAAAAAAAAAACAGACAATAGGAGTCTTGTGTTTTATGGATGCAGGAGAACATGAAGGCGCATGAGATAATCTCATCATATTCATACCTGTACAACCCTTGAAGTCATTTTAAAGGAGCATGTGGTCATTTCTGACCTCTATGAGGGGTAAGCAGGAGGGGTGACAACAGTTCTTTATCTTATAATTAGTAGTGATATGCTGGGAGGTCGGGGTTTATATTTTCTGGATATCTATTTGTTCCACGTTCTCACATGAAAGTGGTCAAATATGGCAAAGGCCCAGCACGAGACAGAAACGTCCATCTTGCATCAGTTGTGTGGTGCTGGGCTGTGGGTCAAGTTAGCTTTGCCACATCCACTTATAGCTTTATGTCAACGATACTACAGCAGCAACGCCTGGCTAGACTTTCAGAAATAAGCATTGCTGAGGAAAGAACTATATTTTCAATGCAAGTCCTTCATTGGTTGGACTCACATCGCAACAGTCCCGATTCTAGGAGGACTTTCGCTCCGATCACACGCAGTCATGTGATCCCGACAGCACATCCAACCAATAAGCTTGAAGACAAGAATACATAAATGACAATAGATGGAAACCTGAAGTATCACACTTTGAAGCCTTGGCTTTTCAACGCTTTGGGAGTGAGGGTGAGTTGACATCGTAGGCTTTGAAATGTGAAATAATATCCCAGACCAAGTGTCCACGTTGTGTTGTTTATAAGGTTTATCCGGGAGTCCTTGATGTGAGGAATATTTGGCTAATTGAGCTGGTAGCATGTACAGAAACAAAGCCAAACTAAACTTTACAATCTGTAAAGTGTCATCACTCAGTAGTACATCCAGACCTAAAACTGTACATATTAATATCAGAATCCTACTCATAACCTCTTTCAAAAGATATTTAGTACAATACTCAGTAATACCAGTGTCTCTCTACGTCCCTTTCACAAACTGTTTGGATTGACATGAAACTTGAACAGTATATTTGTCGAAGTTTATATCACATCAGCACCTATAGTTTTCCTGTAATAGCATCCTGTTCATGAGGTTTATGAAGTATCTCGACCTGGCGAGAACGAAGTGAAAGGCGCATGAGTGGTGTGACTTCCTGAAGTTCTAATGTGAGTTCAGTGGAGGTTAAGATGATTTCATTACATTTGATTCACGAGCTAGTGGTGTGGTCAATAGTTATGAAACGTTATCCCTTGGCTGGAACGCACAATCAAATTTCGGGCCAATGTTTTCTCTCTCCGCGGGTTGGGAGTTGCCAACCGGACTTAAGGATACTTAAGGATATCTTGGGGTCTTGTTCACTACTGAATGACAAAGTGAGACTCGCCATTGCATTGGTTTGGCATCAACAATGATTTAGACTCACAGTTGAGCTGCGCGCCAACCCAATAGTCATGAGCCTTGGGTAGTTACCAAGCTGTTTCCCCTTGCTTCCAGTCTTTATGCTGAGCTAGGTCTCATATTTATTCACCTTCTCATCTCATTGTTGTAAAGAAAGCAAATGAATGTATTGTCCAGTATATTGCATTATTGCTTGAAATCAGTCCGAATACGAGCAGACATTCTTTGCTAAATGTAATTGTTTGTTTTTCCTTCTCTCTTTGTTTCTGAATCTCAAATATTGTTTTTTTTTGTTCATAAATACTGATTTGACCACCTTAGTTCACAACATTCTTACAATTAAATACTGTTCTCATTGAAAATAAAGAAAATACAACAAAAAAAATACAGTGACTTGACTTAGCAAACTATGCACAACACAAAAAAAAAAACACTCACAGCAAAATAAACAATAACAAAAAAAAAACAGAAAAAGTGGTTAGCCTCTTGAGCCATACAGTGCACATGGACAATATTATACAGCAGTTATATACACAACAGTTTTTAGAAGCTTGCCGCTCTGAGGTCAAAGGTGATTACCGTCAAGGACAAAACAAAACAGAATTTGACATCATGATTAGTATCTGTTTTTAAGAAATGACCAACTAGCACCCATTGTGCGTGTAATATAATACGACTACAGCGGGTTCGTTGATGAAGAAATAATTCTTCGTTGCAATTTATACTCATGCTGAATTAAACTCAATTCAACAGAATCCCTCACTTTCTACACATTCCTCCATTTTTCTTTGATTAATCATAAATGATCAAATCCTTTGTTTTACGTGACCGCATAGAGGGCGATAATTTCAGGAATTGTCAGTCTGTGTGAAACATTTAACATCTTTAGTCATGTTTTAGTCGAGTAGGATATCTTGACATTTAAGCTTGAAAAAGTCCTCAAGACTCCACTTTTCCAGGGCACATCCAGGGTCAGAGCATCCTTAACCACAGCAGGACAGCATGAGTAATCAGGACTGTCTCTCTCAGCCTTTGCACTTTACTCGTCCATCTCTGAGGCCTCTGTGTCAGTAGTTTTCCCATGTGGATAATTTGTCATTGATTTATCCTCCATCACTTCCTTGTAAGGAAGGAAAGGGCCAGCAATATGACCCTGCAGAGCATACGTTCTCCCCACCCTTTGCAGAGCATGTGTTATCTCCCCCCTTACATGTTTGGAGGGCTGCAGACCTCAGATCAGCCTCTCCTCTGGTGGCACTTTGAGGACGCTGCCCATCTCCAGCCTGGCACCGGCCACCTCCTGCGAGCTGGGGCTGTACGTGCCCTCTGACTGACGCTTCTTCCGTGCCGTCATGATGAGGAAAAACACCACCAGGATAGCCAGCAGCACACACAGTGTGATCAGTGGGATGGTCACCACCAGCCAGGGGACTCGCTCCCTCTGCTGGTCTTTCTGCAAGCGGACAGGACAGAACATGGTTCGGTTCAAATTCCAAAATTTGAATGTTGTTGTTGTTTCTCGTAGCTCCTGTAATTCTGAACACGTGGATATGCTGCTTCTATCAATAATTTGCATCCTGAAAGCAGGAAGGGTGTTTCTAACGGCACACAGATTTTGATCTGTGACGAATGCCGGCCTTTTTTCAACGTTAGCATGCACGTTTTAATGATTTTTAGAAGAATTTCAAGACATCATGAAACTACAGATTGTTAGTTTTCAAACGAGATCTTACTGGTGCTGGTAGTCTAAAATGTTCAAGAAACCGTAGTCAATTTCCTCGAGGTATACGTGGACAGGCGTTTTAGGCTATTTTATCAGGATCCGTATAGTAATTGCATATTTATCCCATGTTTTATAGATCATTTATAAGCAATAATGTGGTAACTTAATTTTGTTTTCTCCTTCAGCTAAAGCTTAAAGCTTAATTCTCAGTTAAATTTGGGTACAAGTGTATAGTTTGTCACCAAAAACTAGCTCTTCATTGATGCATCTAAAACCTCATATCTTCTCTTTTGTCTTTAAAATGTCATCTGTAAGACACTACATACTGAAATACTGCTTCGATATGATAGATATATAGATACAGTATGTATTTCTACAGTGGATCACTGCATCCACGGCAGGTACAGGAAACCAGAATCTGGCCGTTCAAAGCTATAATCCAGATATGAGTTCAAATTAAGAACATGTGCTGTGAAAGTGAACAAACTCACATCCAGAGCCAATAAAAACGTCTCTGTCACTTACGTTTCTCTCACACAGTTTGCCGCTGAATCCCGGCAAGCACACACACTGGAAGTGGTTGAGCCTGTCCAGACAGGTAGCACCGTTCAGACAAGGGCTGGACTCACACTCGTCTATTTCTGTCTCACACCTGAAACACATCAATAGGGTTTTAACACAACGCTGCCTGACAGAGCTGTACACACACTCTCCTGACCTTTCCTCTTGGAAGTGGTTCAGACATACTTTTTTCCTGAGCAGCAGGTTGGTGTGTGAGTGTGTGTGTGTGTGTGTGTGTGTGTGTGTGTGTGAGAGAGAGAGGAATGTGCAGTGTGCAGCTCTCACCTGTCGCCGGTGTATCCTGGCTTGCAGGTGCAGTTTCCTCCAGTGTCGCCTCCTATACAAACCCCTCCGTTAAGACACTCTCTGTATGCATCACAGGCTGCTGGAGGGTATCGCCATCTGTTAAACACATGCAAAATAATCACAACCTTATTTATAAGAATTGTTTGTAGTAATAGCTATATTGCTTCCCAAATAACCCAAAACCTTTAGTTCCAAAAACTTACTATTGTTCTCTGTATTTCCAACAGTCTAACAACAATTGAAGTTTCAGCACAAATTAAAAAAGTTATTCACACATTTTGCATTTGACTATACAACAAAACGTCTGAAATATAATCCTGCCAGTTTGCTGTTCATTTTTAAGCAATGATCAACACAGTAAGCCTAAGAGTTCCTGTGTTGGATTGATGATGACATTTAACGTAGTTAAATCAGAGAAATCTGTTTGTCCAAATATAGAGAAACAGCTTCCATTCATGATGCTTCTAGTTACTCTGTCACTGTCTCGTCTTTGAACATTTCTACAAAGAGCTTCAGGGTCGAGATTGTCGATAAAAAACATAAGAAAATATAAATAGCATAAAGCTCTCAAAACTAAGAAGGTTGTATCTTTCTTTGTATGTGGAAGTGATGCCACCGGACAGCTCTTTTACCCCGTTATTTTCAGGGTCTTCTAGTTTAAGGATAAGGGTTATCCTGATGATAGAGGGTGAAGCTTGAGCGCAAACTGTCATACCATATGAGAAATCAGGGAGTTGGTATGTAGTGTGAGTGTCTAATTAATTTAAACCAATTTAGGGTTAGTGCTTTTGGATATTACTAGCCACCGAGCAGGGACTTTTTAGGGGTAAAATCATATATTATGTGAAACTAAGTATTGCAAAATGAACCCAACAATCCTTAAATAAAGATTATGTAAACTTGAGCACTTGTGATTTCATGCTTTATTCAAACAGTGATTTTAATACGGTAATTAAAATGAAGAACTCCACTTTCAAGTCTTAACTGTCTGACCAATTATTCAAAAATTACTTGAACTGGCAATTTGTTCAAATAAATGGTAACTCTTGTGTTTAGTGGTTACAAAAAGTCTAACCTCAAAAGGATCAGATGATTGAAAAGTGATTGATTGTTACATAGAAGACTAATAAAATAACATCAGGAAGTTATGCCAGTGTGGATCCTTGACACGACTCGGGGGATAAAGTCAGTAAAGAAGCAGGGACTTTATAATTATGGCTGATACCTTACTATTCAATGATTTACCAACCTAGAGCAGGAAAGGCTTTTTGAGTATACAAATATGGCATCTTCAGGCTACTTATTGATGATTTCTATATATTTAAGCTTAACTTTAAAATCTTAAATATGCTGTAGAGAAAGAGAGAAGTCTGTACTTACTGGCAGCGTTTGCCCATGTAGCCTGGAGGACATGAACATGTGTTCGCTCCCATTGTTTCCAAGCAGGTTCCTCCATTCACACAGTTGAACTCCAGACAGTTATCCACCTCGTCCTGACAGTTTGTGCCTGTGTATCCAGGCTCACAGTCACAACGGTAGTCTGCCAGAAGGTCTTTACATGAACCATAGACACAGGGACTTGGGGAGCACTCGTTTATCTCCGCCTCACACAGTTTCCCCTCCCATCCTGCGCTGCAGCTGCAGTTAAACTCATTGAACTGGTCCTGACATACACCTTGGTTTAGGCATGGCTGGGAATCGCAAATTGGTGCACCTTTGCATCCAATGATTGGCTCATGCCCACCCAGTCTGGAAAACCAGCTCATCTGAGGAGGATTTTGTACTTTAATGAGTGGCAGGTAGACTCCGCCCACTCTCACCTCCCCTAAACATCCGGTGTATTTCTCAGCCAGCCAAATCTTGGTGTCATTGAGGAAGTTAAGGTTGCCACCCTCATGATAGGTGCTGCCAACTCTCTGCCCATCCACGGTGAGGCGCCACCGGGATGCTGACTGCGTGGGGTCCACCATGGAAAGCTGGATTTGGTGCCATGCTCCGTCTGCGATGGCTCTGTCACTTGTGAAGGCCAGCAGATCTGAATCCGCCCCGCTGTCCAGTTTAACCAGCAGAGAGGAGTTGAGCAGACCCAAGCAGAAGACTTCAGCTCTGCTCTCTGCCCGCAGTAGGATCCCATCTGTGTCACGTGTCCGCATCTCAAGGGTGATGCTTGTTACAGGGCTCAACAAGGAGCTGTTGGCGATAAACTGGAGAGCGTTGTCCTGAAAAACGGCCTCAGTTAAACCTGTGTGAGGAGAAAATAGTGCAAGTCAGAAAACATACTGAGAAAAAGACATGTGTAGAGCCATGCTAGTGTTATGAGACGATTTTTAATTTGTCAAAAATCTATTTCAAAATCTTCCTTGTGACAGGGTCAGATATGTTTTTTTTATTGTAGACTGACTTTTTTTAAGTGAGTTGTACAACAGTTAGAAAAAGCTCACATTTAAAATCCATCAAATCAAACATACTGTACATGTTCATGAACAAAAAACCCCCACCTAGGTTGGTTTTTATAAGTTGGTAAAAGCAAGCTAACACGGAAGAGATTGCTTAGTTTGCATACAAGTGTCTTGCTCTTGCTTTTGGTGCGGTTCATTTTGCAGACTCAGTTCAAGGCGGCTGTTGCAGCTGACAAAATGTGAGCCAAGGATATAAAATGTCAGCAGAATATTCATAATATGCCACATCTGGACTGCCACACCCTGTGAAGCAGCAACGAATAACAGCAGAATTTATTCTTCTCATCTGTCAGACTCTGAGAGCACAAGAAATGAGACCGAGGCAACAAGTCAACATGGTTATTTCAGGGCATCGTAGAAGGTCTATACAATCCTTTAAAAAGCCTCCTTCAGTATGTAGCTTTCCTTTTTCCACTTAGACATACAACCCTGACTTATTTCAGCCTCAATGAGGGATTTTATATCTCGTGCCAGCATTCCTAAAGAAGAGGCGTTACATGACACATGTTAACATCTGGTGTGAGATAAAAACACAGGTATTGAACAGCTACGTTGCTTTCTTTACAATATAAAGGTCCTTTACTGTGAGGAATCTCTCATCCTGTGTTTGGAGGGTATGAAGCTCCCAGACATGATTGCCATTTCTTTTTCTTGTTAAATTTTCTTGAGATTCTGAATATTAGACAAACCAAATGGTCTCAGTGTTGTGAGGATTATCATTTGTACATTGTTTAAAAAATGACAACACCAGAACAGTAGCTGGTAGATGAGCTTCTATACCACTGTGATACTATTGTGTACTATTGCAGGTCTTGTTGGAGTTACAGCAGATAAGTGTTTAACACAGTTATTTTTACTGAAATCCCTGCAACACATTCAATTGGCAGTCACAACAAGCATTGAGACATTAAGACTGAGTTAAAGCTTCATGTGGGAGCCAGCAGGCTTTGGCGCGATCTACAAAGCTGACCAATCCCAGATTCTACATTTTTGGACGACTCCACTCACTTGTAGAGGTCAGATTTTATAAGTAGAGGAAGATAACAGAACAAATGTAGTGGCAAAACAAACCCCACCGTGATCAGTGTGAAGCACAGCACAAGCATAAAGGCTCATAACAGCACAGACCACTAATTAAGACTACTGGAAGCCCCCCCAACCTTCAGTACCTGGCATTACTATCACCCGATGTTCCTGATGCCCAGCGACCACCATCAGACTGAGTCGTCCCTACAACCACCGCCTGACGGCCAACCACCACCATCAGACTGAGTCGTCTGTACAACCACCGCTTGAAGCCCAGCCTTTACCATCGGACTTTGTCATCCCCGACCTCCACCTCAGTGGCAAGGAAGTGTGGACAACAGGAATGCGAGGAACACAAAGGAGAAAGTCCTGCATATTGTCCCATATGCTCTTTTGTAATGTGTCTCGAGATAACACTTGTTATGAATCAGCGCTATACCAATAATGATTGATTGATTGATGCAAGGCTCCATTTTGATTTATTAAGTGTAAAGTATAAATACATGCGTACTCCTGTTGAGTCAAACACATAAACAACGTCAAACGTCACAGCCCTGACTGTCTTGGGGACTTGGCTCTGTTACTACAGAACCAATCCAGTTTGAGCCTTTATGATTGGACAGAGATGATTCTCATTTTAAACATGCTGTGTATGAGAGTTATTGTTATTACCATGAAGACAGGTGAATGATGTCCTGTGGCCCTAAAAACAGTTTGTCAAGTCTGATACGTTAACCCCTGATGATGGCACAGTCTCATCTACAATCTAGTGCCATAAAGTTTGTAGTACGTTTGATGTTTACTGGGTACATTTCAAATGAAAGGACCGTCAAGTTGCATTATGGAAGTTCGAGAGTAATTTATTAGCTTGGCCTTACCTAGGGAGTACAAGTTGCTATATGCAGCACAAATTGAGTCCTCGTTTAATCTTTAAATCTTTTTCCACCAATTAAACATAAAGTGCCATTCTAAAAACCTGAAGTGTTGCTGAATAAGACAAGAGATACCTCTCTTTATCTTCTAGAGAGTATGACACCTCGATTTAGAGTGAGGAATGTTAAATAGTTCTTTGGAAGCTTTCCAAGACTGTACAGTTAATCAGATTAAGAAATTAAAAACCAAACAAATATACTTGTCTTGAACTGTCTTGACTTCCACTGCCTAGATTAAAAGAGATCATGATAATCATAATCAACACCATGGACTACTTACACTCGTAACCGTCCTGTAGGTCCACACAGTGCACTCCGTCAATACAAGGCTTGTCGACACACCACAAACGTGTCTCACAGAGCCGGCCTGAGTACTTCACGGAGCAGATGCACTTGAAGTCATTCCAGGTGACCTGGCACTGGCCGCCATTGAAGCAGGGCCCGTCCTGTGCAGACAAACACAGATGGCAGGATTAGATGGCGGTTTGTAAAATCCCTTACCTGATGCGACTGCAGGTATACGAGCTGCAGAGTAGATTGAGTTGTAATTTACAAATCAGGGATTAAAAACCAGATCAATGTTATCAAGACTAAGGCAGTACAGTACAGGAAGAACTGCAGGGCGCTAACACAATTAGCACTGGTACATTGTTAGCGGCAAACAATGGCAAAACACATTATTTATCATGGGCTTTACATTACAACTGCACAGAAGTCCATTATTAGGATCAAACTGAAGCAGACCTATGGTCTGATCTGATGGGGCAGGGTTTTTTGCAGGTCTTTGGACGGACTGGAACAGACTTAAATACCATTAAAAAATGTTTTAATGATAAAGTTAATGTTTCTCATTGCACTACTATCAGTCTCACTTTCAGACAAATTTTTTGTGACAATTAAACTGGTTCATCGACAGTTTTTAAGTTAAACAAGTTCAGTGAGATGTCTGTGGACATTAGCACAAGGGATATTCCCTAATAACTTATTTCCTAAATTATAGCCCAAAGGTAAGAATACTCAGTCCAAATTGACTACAATTTGTTTTAAATTGTCTGTTTGTAACCGATGTAATTTGATTTGTCAAGTGTGGCTACTGATAGCAGTGCTAGGTTTGCCTTGGTTTTGTTCATCAGCAGCAGACAGATATAATTATCTTTACCTTGCATGTATCATCACTCTTGCATCCTTGCAGCACATTTTCCTTGTTGCTCTCCTGGTAAATTTCCACTCCACCTGGATGATCCCCAGCAGTCATGTGTTTGTGGTCCAGTCGAATGTCCTGCAGGCAGCCCTTGAAGTTTCCACCCCAGGCGTTCATGCTCTCGCCTGCAGGGAGCCCTCCAACATACGCTACATCCCCTGCCTCTACGCTCACGTTCCCTAAGGCACGATGATTCCCCGCTTTGGGGAACACCACATTGCCATAGCGCACTTTTACAGTCACCAAATTATTGATGCCATCAGTGATTAACTGGGCCTCGGACAGCAGTGTGGTGTGAGGGCTGTAAATAGCCACAGTGCCCTCCTTCAGATAGATCGTCATGTAAGGCTTTCCTTCTCGATGGAGCTGCAGGAGCAGGCCGTTGTGTTTGAGGGAGCGCATTAAGAATGAGATGGTGAAGTTTTCTCCGTGGGTTTCTGAGATGTTGAAGGCAGCGTAGCTAGTGGTGTTCTCGTGACCAAAGGTCCAGGATGGATACTCTGAAGAGGGGAGGTACACATTTGTCAATCTTTCTCTCCAACACAATGTATCTCCAACACAAGGGATCTCTTCAATAAAAAAAAAACAGTTTCCTAAGTCATGGATGGGACCACGTTTGGGGTATCTTTATGTTTGTTTCTGCACTCTTTTTGCATGTTAGGGTTGGAGTACCAAAACAGCAGGAAGACCAAAAGCCATTGGGTGGAGGACACAAAGAAGATCAGCCTTTGATACATACATTAAAGTTCAACTATTTTTTAGACTAAATGTGTTGGCTGAGTTCTCTGGAGGAACTGCTCCAATCATGCATTCTGCAAAGTCATAGCCCCAGGCGTAGAATTTCAGCAGTTTCACCTTCATATACTCATATTGATCCTATTTTTTAATACGCTTTTTTAGCCTTAAAGTGATTTATTTACTGCATAAAAAATAAATGAGCAGAAATAATAGTAGAGAAAACTCCTGCAAACGTATAATCTATCCTCTAAGTACTCTTACCTCTCGCACAGCTTTCTCCATAGTAAGGCCGATGACAGTCACAGCTGGCACGAACCCACATGTCCACACACTGCCCACGCTGCATGCATGGGTCTTCCTGACACCAGTCCATTTTGCTGCATCCCATTTCCAAACCCTGGTTCTCCTCTCTGATGAGGTCCTGGGGCAGAAGTGGTTTGTGGTCCACCCGAAGGTCTTCCATGCAGCCAATGAACCCCCGCCCACTGTAGGTGTGGGCTAAATATTCCTGCGGTGCCCCTCCTATATACAGCTGTTGAAAGGAACTGGGCTGGAGGAAGAGCAGATGGTTGTAGCCCTCGTTCTTCACCTGACACTCCTCCTCACATCCGGGTCCTTTTAAAACCAGAACCAGCCTCTCGTCCATGGTCACAGTGACCTGGCGCCATTCTCCATCATTGACTGGTCCAGGGTGAATAGCCTGTAGTAACTTCCCTGACTTAACCCTGGCCTGAAGGGAGCCTCCGACAAGCTCCAGGGAGACAAAGCGCTCCATGGTGCCCCTGTAGTATAACACCATGTCAGGCAAGGTGCTCTTAAACCGAAGCTGCATGTGGAGTCCATGATTGTAGTCATGTGTCGATCGTTTGATCTTCTTTTTGGACTCTGGCAACTGAACGAAGACGTAGCCCTCCGAGTTGAAGGAGAATGTGGTGGAAGTGTTGCAGCGTTCTCCCGACCAGCCCGGCGGACACAAACAGGTGTAGTTGTGCCTCCCATCATCCATCAGCACGGGAACGCAGCCTGCTCCGTGTTGACACTGGTTCTGTTGGCAACCGACGAGTCGGACGTCACAGTCTGGCCCACCCCAGGGCTCAAGGCCGGGCTCTGGCGCAGGGCAGTGACACCTATAGTGGTTGGCAGCATCTTCACACGTGGCGCCATTCTTGCAGGGATTGCTGTCACACTCGTTGATGTCCACCTCACAGTGTATGCCTGAATGGAGAGAGACTCTGTTTTAATACAACTTTACAAGACACTCTTTGGATTGCTAAAAGTCTAGCTGCCTGCACTGGAACACAAAGGTTAGCCCGCACACATAAAGATGGACAGGCAGGGTATGAATTTTCCCATCAGTGTCATTTGCAAATGAGGAAATGACTGCAGGAAATTAGAAGTTAATCAGCCATAAATTAGAGGGTGATTAGCTTCAAACAGATTTCCCTGAATAAAATTAAACTTGTTTCTGTCTTACTGATTGTATCAAATTGACATTGAAATATCGCTCGTCAGACAAAGTAGTGCCACACACACATACAAACCGTGCCAGAACTACAGTCTGTCTGCCTGGTTTCAGTTGTCAGTAAGCCCTGGCAGCAGTCAACCTGCATTAACAAAGTCCTTTAAAATACTCTACACCCAAGGAACCCAGAAGCTGTTTGTCCTTTCCTTGCCAAGACTCAACCCTGGTACACAAGCAAGCAACTTTTAGTAAACGTAGCATTAAAGCATTGAATCATACTGTACCTGTCAGCCACCAGGGCCCACAGCAGCAGCACAGCAGCAGCAGCATCAATATGTTCCCCCTCATGATCCACAAAGTGAACAGCCAACACACTCCTCACGCTGCCAGATGACACAACCAGGTCCCCTCTCTCTCTCTCTCTCTCTCTCTCTCTCTCTCTCTCTCTATCTCGCTCTCTCTCTAGCCTACAGAGCAGAAGTACCTTCACTCCTCCACCCTGTACCAGGCAGACAGGCAGGAGTGATAACAAGTCAGCCCTGCCCACCTTCTCTCTTCCTCCCTCCTATCCTCCCATTCCTCCCAGAATCCCTCCCTCTTCCCTCACACCCCTCTGCCCCTCTCGTGTCTGCAGCCCAGCCCTCGCAGAGCAGTAAGCCTCCAGCCTCCAGCTGGCTCCTGTCACTGTTTGACAAGAGGAATGCAGTGCTGCAGTCCACTCTGCTCCCTGCGCTGGCCTGTTGATGCCCACTAGCGGCAGGAGCTGCTGCAGTCAACCTACAGGAGGTGCTGTGTAGTTTGCACATCTGCTTTTCAGTCTGTACCGGATCATATTTCATTAAGCAAAGTTTCATTAATAAGTAAGCAAAATATACAAATATGTCACAGTCTGCTCTGGAATAAGTAGTAAATATGAAAGATGATTTTGTCTACATCCTTTCTTCACAATACATTTTAATCTTAAGTAAGGGAGAGCAACTTCCAAAAAAAGCACGACAGAATTACTAGCGTCTGTGTGTCGGTGTGATAAATAACTATATTTATAGTTTTAATGGTTTTAAATTGTCTTTATTTTATTGTGCATCCTACGTGTAAATACCACTGATAATAAAATATAACTTTGATTCAATTAGAGGGGGAAGTATTCGACTGTTTTCAAACTCATTTGCTTTGTTCTGATTCAGATGATAAAATTATGCATTGTTGAATTTTTTCCTTTTAGTCGTTTGGTGTTTACATTAAAATATAGCAAAGCGAGCCAGAGCACACACCAACTCAGAGCTGTATATAAGCTATTATGTCACAGCATCCTTTTCCCACTGTGTAGGTAAACACAGGTACTGGTCACACTTTGCATTGTGGAATAGCACAAAGATGCTAACCATTATTAGCTGGTTACCCTACCAACAACATGAGTCGTAGCATTGACTTTTCCCAAATTATGGCAAGTGTGAAAACACGATAACAGAAGCCCTAAGAGGCCAAATGTGAAAAATAAAAATCGGGTGTACAACACATTCATCTAGAGGACCCATGTTGAGAGTCTCTGCCCCAGACTGCAACATACTTCTTACACAGACTGAGAGTCTCTGGAGTTCAGCAGAAATCTATGTTAATTTTTTACACTGCTTTTTGTGAAAGCATTATCAGATACATGATAACAGCCTAGTATGGTTACTTGTCCAGCTGAAATCACAGATAACTTGTTTTGTGCAGACTGCTATCATAGGTGTTAAAAAACACCCCTCTCTCCAAACAGTTTTCACGTGTCAGTCAGTGTAATCCTTATTTTGGCCACAAGAGGCTGAAGTGCACCACTACCCCTTGTGAAAAAAGATTTTCTCTAAATGCTTGTGATCTTAACAATGTACACAATGTATACTGGTTGTCACAATAATTTCAATAATGTATCTTAAACATACGGTATGTTCATAGACCAAGTGAAGTACTTGATTCAAGACAAATCTTCTGGATCAATTTTTGAATTTATTTTTCACCCAGAGATCAGTTGATATTTGACTAAAATAACAACCCTAAAGGGCCTTTCAGAAGGGATGCAGTGGGCGTTGTGCGCCGCTCTCAAACCCATTCATTGTCTATGTGTTGCGCCAAGCAAGAGCTATCTGCAGCGGGGAGCAGATGTCCTCGCCCTCTGCGCAGACGTTTAAACATTGTCTACTTGGGCGCAGTCCTCTGTTACATCACGTCTGTGCATCCAATAGGAGAGTAGGAGGTTAGATCAGATAACAACAAACGGTGTCCCACTGTCCTTAGATCTAGTTTAAAGACCTACCGGTAGATTGGAGAGAAATCCCTAGTTTGAAAAGGTTTGGGCCTGCCAGGTGAGTTTAAAAAAGCAGCAGAAGTGTGTGTCGTGCTCGTGAAGCGGTCATGGTAGAGTCTAAACTCCCCCAAATCCTGTCGTGCCCTGAGGATTTAATGAACACGCACCCTCTTCCTCTTCTGCTGCTCGTCTTCTCCTCCTCAGCAGAAGCTACTCAATTGTGGATACATTGTGCTGTGGCAGAAGTTACTTTCCCAAGCTTTCCCAACTAACTTTTCGGTCGTCTAGCAACTTTCGCCGTTGATTTACAATTTGATATTTTCAATCCAAACATGACTTGCATCAGCCTTAAAAAACACAATCAAACTGTTGTTTTGTAACTCCAGAGGCACAGCCTGATTAAGTGCAATGAGGAGGGGTTCATCTCTATCGGATTAACCCCCAGATATACTGATGACCACTTCTCGCACGTGCAAAGTCATCCTCGGTCACGCGTGCCATATGAAGGTAATAGGATCATATTTAGAGCGGAATATCCTCTTTTAGTGTCTTTCACACCAGCATGATATGTTTACATCAAAGAAAAAACAGAAGAATAACGAGCAGATTATTCTGTTTTTGTTTTGTTTTACTTAAAGTGTTTTATATCCTGTTTTTTTTTAGTTTTGTGTTCATCAGGCTTTAATTAGGCCCCTAAGAAGCTTTGCTGTAATCTCCCCTCCCCCTGATAAATTTCTTGGGAGACCCCCGTTTAATGCCCACCGTGGACGCCTGACATATGGCACCTTTGATTGGCTTTGTTGTTTTCTATGCTCCTCCAAACCATATGCCCTCTCATCCCCTCCCATCCCCTGCCCTGCTGCGTCCTCACATTTTGTAGCTTTAATAAGCTGAGTGTTGGCAAATTAGCCTCTCGTTTTGTTGACAAGAGCGCTTGGCTGAATTCCTCGCTTCTAAGTCCAGATTGAGTGTTTGGAGGTCGGCTTTTTGTGCGTTTCCTCCTGTTTTGAGTGATGCAGTGACAAATCTCCTCTAATGAGGAATTAATACCTTGGCTGGCCATGAGGAATGATCAGCAGGAGGAAGATTAACCCTTTATTGTTTGGCCGAGGAGATTCTGAGACCCTCTGTAAAGGTTATCGCTCTTCACTGGTTTCTACTGAGGACGTTCAGATCGGTTCACTTCAGATCTTTTTACACAACAGAGAAGTGTTTTTTTAGAGAGGCAACCCAAAAGAGAATTAACGAGATGATGTTAACTTTTGCAGCCTTAGAGTAACATGCTTTATTCACATGTCACTTAAAATCCACAACCCAGCATTGCAGAAGATCAGAGGCTCTGGGGATCAAGTCCCCGACCTTCGGGTTGAGAGTCAACCGACTCCACTACTGAGCCACAGCCGCTTTAGTGTTTGTTAACAATAATAACCTCATACGGAAGTACTTTAGTTCAAGTTTGTTCCAGCTTCACATGTGAGAACCGTCATGTGAAGTTAAGGAAGTGGCTGATCTGTTCTGTCTGATGAGCAATAACCCTGTGAGGTGTCTCTGGAGGAAGAGCAGATGATTTTGTTTTGTTAGGAGATAAGAGCAGATAAAAAGTTTCTCCTACCTGTGAAGCCGTCTGGACAAACACATTGATAAGAATTGATCAGATCCTGACAGCTCCCACCATGCTGACACGGAGCAGACTCACACTCGTCCACGTTGATCGAGCAGTTATCTCCTGCAAAGAGAACAGAAAAAATGAGATAAATATCACTTTAAGGTGAGTCATTAAACCAGGACACTTAAGAGGGTTTGGTGTATCTAACCAGTGAATCCTGGCAGACAGTGGCAGATGAAGCCAGCGGCCTCATCATAGCTGAAATTGGCCTTGCTGAGTTCAGGGAGCTTCCAGTAGTTCAAGACATCTGAGCGCTGGAAACATTCGCCTCCATTCTCACACGGGTTCTGCTCACACTCATCTATATCCACCTGGCAGTTCTCTCCTTCGTAACCTGGACACATAAACACAGATGTGGAAATTAACAAATATACACGTTTGAAGAGAAGAGTTGGTCTTCACTTGTTGGTCATCTTAATCATGTCTTTTGTTTATATGAAGGGGTGAAAGCAGGCCGTGAAAGTGGCGGTACGCAGTAATGGAAGAGGTAAGAGCAGCCGCCTGCCAGAACCCATATTCAATAGTGTTGTAGTACTATAATCTTGGTCTCTAGACTGGTCTCAAGACCACTTTTTGAAGATCTCTGTCTTGCCTCGGAATCAAAACCATTTTTAGTCCATCTTGTCTCTGTCTCAGCCTTGGTGGATTCAGGATTTTCAATCAAGACCATCACTGATGAACTATTTTTCCAGGTCATTACTGTCATTAGAAGTAAAACTCCCCTTTCTAAAAGAACAAATATTTTCAATTAATTCTTATTTGGATTTTTATCCACCAGTTAACACATCTATTAAGTCTGTAAAACCATGTGACATCTGCACAAGGACATGCACAAAACTACACACCATGACAAACATCATGATCTCATTGTGATGATGACACCATGAATCACATGCAGACTGTTGACGTCTGCATCTCTCTGTCGCAATGTGCTCGTGCATCACTCTTCATAATTCATTACAGCCCTGAAGGATTTAAACGGAGCAACATGGCTGATTTTATATCTTTACCAAAATGTTGAAGGTTTACCGCTCCCCTAAACCTGAGGGTCACATCACCCAGCTCCTTTGTTCAGTTTGACCTCTGACCGTTCTGTTTCTTCTATGACCTCTGTTTAGTGACCAAGTGACCAATATCTAAGACCTATTCACACTAGGACTGTCTTTTCATTAAGTGTTATAGATATTTGAGGGATTGATTTTTGTGATCTTTGTGCAGTGCTGAGGAGGAGTTTGTGAACAGAGTTGGGGTGTACCTGGCCAACAGAGACACTTGTACTCATTGATCCCCTCCAAACAAGTGGCTCCATGCTGACAGGGGTCCGAGGCACATTCAGGAATATCCTCCTCACAGTGGTCGCCCAAGAAGCCCGTCCCCTCACAGTCACACGTATAGCTAAAAAAAGTGAACAGAATAAAAATCATTAAAAAACATGTTTTATAATGAAATCATCAAGAGGAGTAAGGGGGTAATTGTGTGTTTAGTAAAAGCAGCAACCTCCAGTGTTGACAAATGAAGCCAATGCAGAATTGCAGAATCTTGCAGTTTGTGCACTGCACAAGCACCAGAAGTACACATACACACCCCATTCAAAAAAGCCAGCTTCAACAGCGGCCTATTATGCTTTACTAAGTATAGCCCTTATAAGGTAGAAGTAAGCAAAAGCATATTAGCATCACAATTCATGTTTAATAACTTCCTAACTTACATTCAATAAGCAGTAATTAGGAGGTATTGTGGGCAACCTCTTGGCTAATGACCTATAGCTAGAAACGATGGGCATGTAGAATAAGGTACTAATAAGTTCTTAATTATGACTGACGGCATTTCCTAACAGCAAACAAGCATTAAAAGTCTTGTGGCTGTCCACACTGCATCTGCTAAAAATGTCATTCTTTGAAGCAATGGTGTGTTTGTCACTCCAAATGTATCAGTATGTGACTCATGAGGTTGTATTTAATCCGGGGGGAAAAAAAATTGTAACTGTATATTGCATATGTAGTCCAGTTGATATGTATGACTAAAATTCACTTTTAATGCTAGCGTAAAGCTTGGTACACTTTGACGGTTTTGGGGCCTGAACATTGTTAGATATGAAGCTGTTGTGGAATCCATTTAACTATACACAATAAGAAAATAGCGTATTTAGCATCACATGTTGAGCTAAACCTCAGTTTGACTCTTGTTGAGAAGAGTTTCTTAATTCATATTGAAAATGTAACATTGCAAAATACACTTGACCATGTTTCTCTTACACTAATATGTGTGCCTAGTCTGTCTACAAATCCCGAAATTACGAGAAAAGTTCATCCTCTCCGTCTTTTACCTGCTCCACTTTTCATAAAATGTGTGCTCAAACAGGCTGTTAAGAGATTTTCCCTTAATGACATCACAGAGGGCAGTAACCCCTCCCCCAGGTGGGTGACACTCTCAAACAGCTAGGTGTTTGTTCTGCCCTCTGAGTCTGCCTTTCCACCATAATTAATAAGGCATGGTGCGAGAAATCCCGAACCACCCAAGGCCTTTTAGAGAGGGGCGTGGTCACAGCTCATTTGCATTTAAAGGTACAGACACAGAAACAGCCTGTTCTGAGGGCATAATAAAATACGTGTTTCATGGTTTAGGGAGCTCTCACACAATTAAACTTGTTGAAAAGATATATAATATGTGACCTTTAAAATAGCAAAAATATGCATCTATCATGTCTGAGTGTTATTTTATAAGTCACATTTGCAGAGGCTTATTCTGAACAGTTTATGATATTGTTCATTTCCTCGCAAACTTTGACCACCAAAACTCAGATATAGACATCACTTTTTCTGCAAAATAATCAGTTGACTTAAATAATGCTAAATGCATTTGTTGCATTTGGTTAAGGGGAAACATTGTGCCTATTGCCTCCATCAGGTACTTTTGGAAAAACTCTACTGAAATGTTAGGGCCAGTCAAAGTGTCATGCTCTATCAAAAGAAGTGAAAATGTCCTAAAATCTGGCATTTAAAGCCTCAATTAGCTGGTATAAATATGTGCATGTGTGTGTGGTGTGTTTTCCTGTGTCCGTTTGTGTAATCCTACCTGTTGACCCCGTCGATGCACCTGCCCTCATTCAGACAGGGCATGCTGGCACATTCATCGATGTTGACCTCACAGTCTGGGCCCTGGAAGCCGGCCATGCACTCACAGGTGTACGCTGCTACGTGGTCCCGACAGGTGGCGCCGTTCTGACAGGGCTGCACCTCACACTCATCGATCTCCGCCTCGCAGTTAATCCCTGCAGGAGACGGAGGAAGGATGGCAGAGGGCCGAGTTGTTAGATTGTCCACACAGCTAATTATCTTATCACACGTACGGATGTAACCTATAACATCGCAGCTGCCAGGAGCTCAGCTGTGGATGGACAACAGCAACACAGACTAAAGCTAATTAAACACAGCCCTGCAGCCTCTTCTTACACAGTTGATGAAATAAAGGGGCACAAATAGAGCAATACAATATACAAAATACAATACTCACACAATTATCTAATACTACCCCCATAGTGGAAATTAATCCGATTTAAAATCTTTGAATGCCAGAGGATCCTTATAATCAAACCTACTGTAAAGAAAATCAGACGTTTATGCAGGGCTTGTTTTACCATTTTGAGCCAAGGTTTTTAAATATTTTAGACCAATTTTCCTTCATTTAGGCTTCCTTTAGGTTTCGATGTTGTTAGTTTTAAGGCCTGAAATCACTGCTGCTATAGGTGTCAGACGAGGTGATTAACAGCCGGCTGCAGAAACAGCCTTTGTTAGTGAGTGATACATTCGACAGCTCAATAAGAAACAGGATGAGATTTTTTTATAATAACCCTTTGTGCATGGTTAAACTATGATGGAACGTTAACTGTCTGTTGCCCATTTTACCAGGTAAAACAGTCAACAAAATGTGGAACTTCCTTAAATTATGATTTATTGTCCCATCCTTCCTTCCTTTTGTAGACATGAAATAGTTTGTAGTTCCAGTTAGCATGTAGAATTAGCTGCTTGCAGCTTGCTCTCTCTTTCTCTCTCTCTCTCTCTCACTATCTCATTAACTGTCCCTTCCCTTTACTGAAAAAAACATGAAAAGCTAAAAGGCTAAGAATATTTATTCTTCTTAGGACAAAGACCCCCATTCATCAGGACCCAGGGTACTTGCTCAGTTTGATCCACCTATAGGCTTACGTTGTACAGGAGCGTTTTGCATTCAAATGTGAAATAAAGATCTCTGTTTTTTTCTGCATTAACAAGATCATTATCTCAGAATTACAAGTTACAAGTGCTTCTCGGCATAACATCCATGCCTCAGTTTTACCCCATGGGGATCCAGTATTTTGAACCATTTCCTTATTGCCTCTTGAGTCACCACGCAGTCAGCATGAACGCATTTCAGATGCTTCACTAGTGAAACATGCCTTACATAGGCACCGCTTATCCTTACGGATCAGAGCAGGGGTTTAAGTCTGAACTGCAAAGATCTAAGTTGACTGTGCAATCTCAACAAACTTATAACAATACCATCTACACGGTACCTATGTCGCTTAAAGACATGAGTATCTCCACATGGGTCAACCCCAAACCAAAATGAAACTGGATTAGGCAAAACAGTCTGGGAATGTTTGCTACTTTAACTGCTCTGAATGGGAGCTTCTGTAGGGATTTAGAGGTACTGGTATCTCATTTATTCAGAAAAACAAAGCAGTTTTTTGTTTTTTCATGAAAACATAACTTGTTTATTTTAATTATTCTGAATTTTATTTTATCATGTAAATGCAATACACTTCTGTAACTACAAGATCAGCACAAATAGAAAAAAATGTGTGCATTGTCTATGATGGGGTCGCCAACATCCACACAAACCCTGGCTTCCTCTCAGGAGCTTTACGGAGCAATTCAATGGATATACCATGTTTTACCATTTTTGTATTGACTGAGGAAATCTTACTTATTATCTAATTTTACACACCAGTTTGTTACTTAAACCCCCCTAGGTTTAAAAATATTCCCTACTATCCTCTATGAGCTGTGTCATTGCAACATCTGTAGAATAGACTGCTGACAGCACTGCTGATCCACGTCTCCAGAACACCTGAACCTTCCTTGACACCTCAAGCAGCATCCAAATCCTGAGGGCAAAACTCAACCTGATGCCTTCAAGCAGTGGCGATTCTAGAGTCTGTTTCCAGGGCCCTATTCAAAAGACAATTGGGGGGCCCTCCAACTTTTTTCCTGTTTCTGTGTTCTCTTTTATAGACATAGGGGCACTGGTGGTGCAGTAGTTAGTGCGCACGTCCCATGTATGGAGGATTTGCTCCTCCAAGCGGGCGGCCCAGGTTCGAATACAGCCTGTGGCTCCTTTCCCGCATGTCATTCCCTACTCTCTCTCTCCCTGATTTCCATCTATCCACTGGACTATCTCTCCAATAAAGGCACAAAAGCCCAAAAATAAATCTTTAAAATTGAAAAAAAAAAAAAAAAACTTAAAAGACAACTAATTCCTATTAAGTTTTCTTAAGTGATTTTCACTGACAAACTTTGGCATTAACGGTAATGATGCATGTGACACCTAAAAATTTGTCGAGTTTGTAAGCCCTCAGGGGCCCCCGACTGGTCTGAGGCCCCAAGCAGATAAGCCACTATAGCATTCAACGTGGTTAAAGTGATGGGATAGAACAACCAAAGCTCTTGAACAGCCGGGTTGACAAATCCATAGTAAAAAAAATCCTTGTGACATCAAACATTTTTCTTTTTACCGTTCCTTTTAGCTGCTTTCATTTACTTTTCAATCCGTAACGAGTTCCCTTTTTCCGTGGTTAAGTTAAAGTCATAACCTTCGATCCTTTTATTTCAAAATAAGAGCAGATTTCTATCCTAACAGGAAGTAAAGTACTCAAAGCTTAGAACAGTATAAAAATAAAAATAAAAGAATGTCCAAAATTGTTTTGAAATGTAAAATAATGAAATTTGAAACGTGATTAAAATGCAATTAATCACAACTAACTGTTGAAATTCAGCAATTATCACAATAAAATGTTTGACAGCTCCATTTTTTAAATATATTTTACAATTTCAATGTATTAAGGTCTCTAAACTAACATAACATGTTAGCTTCAGTTGTACAGATTCAAGTAGTCTGAAGGATTTGAAAAACAAAAATTATATAATTTGCAACAATTCAGGTAATGGCAGAATTGTTTTTCCTGCAAAGTACTAAGTGTTGAGTGGAGAGCTATTATCTTTTTTTATCATTTATTTTAGTTTTGAAAAGAAAAAGGTTCATGTAGAACCAGGTGTCAAATTCATATCTAATGTCAGCCGTTTAACCCCAGATTCTCCCATAAAGAAAATGCTTTCTATTTTCTAAAAACCCATCACGTCTTAACCCTGGCATATCACCTGTGTCTTACCTTTGAAGCCGGGAGCGCAGTCACAGCTGTAGTGGTCCACCTCATCCAGACAGGTGCCGTTGTTCTGACAGGGTCGAGAGGCACACTCGTTGATGTCCAGGTCACAGTGGTAGCCCTGAAATCCAGGCACACAGAAACACTGATAGGCGTTTACCCCGTCTTTACAGATGGCTCCGTTCTGACACGGCTCAGACTGACACTCATCGATGTCCTCCTCACAGTTCGTCCCCTGGTACCCAGCAGCGCACTGACACTGGTACCCAACGTCAGGGATGTCCATACAGGTTCCCCATTCTGGCATGTGTTCTCTGAACAAACAGTGACATTATCCTGACAGTTCTCTCCTCCCAACCCAAGGGGGCAGTGACAGGAATATTCATTGACTCTGTTGACACAGAGGGAGCGGAGGCCTGTGCAGGGGCTGCTCTGACATTCGTCTACATCCTGAGTGCAGTTGAGTCCTGTGAAGCCGTCAGGGCAGTGGCAGGTGAACTTGTCGGTTCCTGGTGTGCTTGTACAGTTTTTGCACGGATTTGAAAAGATGCAGGCGTCGTACAGCTCACTGCAGTTATTTCCCATAAACCACACTGGTCCTTTGGGGCACACACACACATAGTCGCCCATGTGGTCTATACAGGTGGCTCCATTGTTGCAGGGAGACGATAAACACTTATCTGCTGCTGCTGTGCACAGAAAGCCTGGAATGGAAGACAACAATACTGTTTTAATAAATATACCAGGAGGTTATATATTCTTATCTTATTGTTGTGTCAAGTACAGATAAAACAGGGATGGCTGGTATACAGTGAATGGGCTAGCAGGACTTAACAGGCAGGACCCTAATTTTGCATAACACATATCCTTTGTGAAATCAAAACAAAAATCATCCCCCAGACAGTGTGTGCCGATAGGGACTGTTACTAACCAGACCAAAATCAGTTTTGTACCAGGATGTAAACATTGTAAAGGGGTATGTATGGGATTTCCAGGAATTGTGGAGCCAGCCTCAAGTGGACACTTGAGGAACTGAGGAACTGTTTTTTTGCAGATTGCTGCTTGGTCAACCCCAACTCCCTCTTTCCTACATTTCTTATCATTCTTCACCGTCCTATCCAATATAGACAAAGGCCAAAAACATTATTTAAAGATAATAATTCCAGTAATAAAATATGTGACCAAAAAAACATGGCATGAAGTGTTGTCTGCTTAAAGATCCTTCTGTCTTTTCCCATCTTACCAAACAAATCTGTTTGAGATGGACTAATCCAGGGGGAAGAGGATGGTGGGACAGGCATTAAAGAGAAGAAGGTTAGTTTTCATCACCACAAGCATTAAGAAACTTGCAAAAAAATTATAAAATAACTCCAATCCATGTTGTGTATGAGTAACAGATGTGATTAGCTGACCAGCATAGCGTCCCTTTTCTCTGACTTTATCCAGTTTACCGTTGGACTATTGCAGATGTCATTTCATGTACTGTACATATTGTTTGTTTTTTATATACCTTTCTATCCAATTAACTAACTGTAATATTCAAAACAATAATGCTGATTGGAGTCAATGGTTAAATTGACTCCACATGTGGGTGTCATGATTTGCTTTAGTATTGCCACTGAAACCAGTCCAGGCGATGCAAAGACTGATTGCAGTAACTAAACTTTAAAATGCCAAAAGTTGAAGCCATCAGCTATAATGGTTTTGTGACGTAAGAATACCTAATTTCTCATTAGTGCAGGGTCCCTTGCATACTTTTCCACCATTGGGGCAGCTAGCTAAAATAGCTTAAGGTCATTCCTTGTCAGCCTTAACCACAGCATTTTATGTGCAGTTGACTTTTTAGGTCAACAGAACACCTTAAACCCCAATAACACAAAGGTGGAGTTCATCCCGTATCAACCATTAACATCTGTTGAAGCAGATTGAAGACTTTAAACAGTCCAGCACTTATTTTGATATGCTAATAAATATAAGAACTGTGAGTGATTGTAAAGAAGTTCACAAGCCCACAGAAAATTATCACAAGATCCAGAGCTCTATGAACCTATCATATGGTCGTACACTGATTATGTTTTGCTAAAAGCCTGAAATGAAGCTACAAAACTGTGAAAGAACAACTTTTAAGGCTGGAGGTGTTGAGAAAATCTGAACACAGTTCACTGTCTCTCTCCTCTAAGCTTTAGCTGCATTATCGTCAGGGTCGTACAATGGGCATTCCTATAACTCTGACCTTTAGAGGTGCTTAGAAAGCAATCTGGAGATGAAGACCCTCTGGACATAAGGTCACGGCAGATGGTGTTAAAAGTAAACTTATTACACGGCAAAGCTATAGCAGCTGTCAGGGTTGCCAATGAAAGTGTCACCCACCGGTTGTACAAAGTGCAGTGCTTGTAACTTAGTGGGACGGGGCTCTGTGGAACAGTAATGACATTATGGAAAACAGGAACAGCGTAGTTTCTTATTTTAATGTGTAAATCTGTCAGAGTAAGACAGTTTAGTAACCTTTAGTTTTATGGCAAAAAAAGAGGTTGTGGATGTTCTGGTCTCAAACATTATTACAACCACATCTCTTGGTGTTAACTTATTAAAAGTTTTTTTTAACTTTCTTGTTGACCTAACCTCTCCCCAAAGTGTCAACTTTCATTATTATCATCCCCATCACCCTAAGGATATCTTTTGTTTCAAAACTCAAAATGTTGGCTAATGTCCACCATACTCTGTTGTTTTCGCACCCCTAACTGAGACCTTTGAAAGCGCTGCAGACCCTGGCTAAGTTCAAACATCTTTTTGTCTTTTGGTGTGTATGGGGCCAAAACAGAGACTTTTAGGTATAGTCCCATTCATTTTCTGGTCAAGTTTTGTCAAACACAACCGCAAACTGCTTTAAATCTTGATTTTCTTTAGTGAGAAGTATCATCTTTTGACAAGAGGGTGCATGCATTGTTACCTTTCTATCCTGGTTGCTGGTCTCTGTGGCAGTAACTTGTCGATCACAGGTAGCCACAGTGATGACATTGTATCACTTATTGCTGTGTGGGCTTTTTGTTGGAGCTTTAAGCTGGTGTTTTGTCCATCCTCATCTTGTTTATTACAAACCATAATTAACCATTTTGGACATGAAGTATATATGAGGATTGAATGTAAATGAGTAGTAGGCTAAATTTCTCACTCATGGTTTTGCAACCAAACTTGGTTCTGTATTCCTGCTGACACAATGTTGTTTTTAGACACTTCTGCAGTGGTTTCACTTTTGAACCCAATAGCTAGATCCAGTGGTGTAGTGCAAGACATACGCAGGTATAAGTATACCCAATTATTTTAAAGTTTCACTTCTTTATACCCTCTGTTTCACACCATTGATTGACAACATTCATTAGGATGCTGTAATTTTCTTCCTAGGATGGTGAAGGGATAATCCTCTGTCTCTGATTGGCTAGAACGTACTGACTATGCAAGGGTAGTCTTACATGTCCCTGTTTATAGCAGAGGCCGTTTATAGTCTGACTGACGGTAAACTTAAAAAAACATTTGGGCTAAAAATGAAGAGTATACCCACTTCTTCAGGCACCACTACACCACTAGCTAGATACACTTCTTAAATACAGTTTATGGTCACAAAAGTCTTGGTCAGACTTGCACAAAACTGTTTTTTGAGGTGAGCTGCATGTGTGAACACAAACAGAGTTTCTCCTGTAAGCCCCCTAGTGAACTGATATGAGAACACAGCAAGATGTGATCCGGAGAATTCACCTTGAGCGAGGGGAGGGGAGGGGGTGGTGACGTTTATTCCCTGCGTTAGATGCACGTCTATAGACTGTATGCACACGACTGTGGTGAACTTCATGCACTTAATTAAACTGCTGCATTTTGGTTTTTGTTATCCAGTATTGTGATTCTGTTGAACTACACATCACAATAATATAGAAGCAAATAAACTCATTATGGTGGACTGCTTTGTTTGCCACTTTTGTGTCATTCTTTTCATTATCATGTCTTGCCTCAGTTAGTCCCCCGCCCCTCCTCCCATCTGGCTCGGATAGTCTCCCACTGTGAGGTGCATGTCCACCAGATCAGGAGGATTTCAGGGGCAGTCCTCCTGAAATGTTCAAGAAACTTCCAGGAATGCATAAGATGGATAAAGTGTCCTGTCTTTATTCTTCGTGCTACTATGTGACTATGTTCAGAAAAAAAGCCTTTAATGCCAGCAGTTAATTTACAGTGGTATATTTTTTTTTTCAGGTGTAAATGGAGGGAGATTATTTCTGTTTGGATTGAGATTTTGTTTTAAATGCTTATCAAAAAAATACATCTCCATTGGTGTGGGTTTAGCTTTAAGATTGAATTAATATTTTGCTGCCATGCCATGCTCAAATTTGTACCTTAAATTACCTGTGGTGCCTTTTATATGGTCCACCTTAAAAGTTCAGCTTCACTTGTTTTTTTAGCTGTTATTTTTATACAGTAACATTGAATTTTGAGACTACATTGACTCAAGCAAGGATGCATTTCATGGCTTATACATTAAGCTTTGCAGTTGTAGGAGAAAGACTATCGAACCATTGTACTGTTGGGTACTTTGGATAATAGAATATGGAAACTTTACTCCTCTGCCAGGAGATCATCATCAACATCATCTCAGCAACAATGAGTTTATTTCTTCCCCATAACACCTCCTTCATTTCCCCTCTGCATCCTCTTTAACACCCTCAGTTCCTCTGACAAGCAGCTGCTATTATCACTTCCTTTATCTTCTCTAACACGGAGCATCAGCCTCTCACTCCTCCTCCTCCCACCGCCTCCCTGCTCTCCATACCTGAGATATCCTGAGAGGTGTTGTGTCGTTTTTTGTTCCTCTGTTTAAATTTAAACACTGGTAACAAGTCTCAGTGCACTGGGTGATCTTTACACTGTCAGAGTGAGGTGCAATGAAGTGAATTTATAATGACTGGAAATTTCTCATGCTTTTTGGCCTTTGTCTATACTTCTCATTTTGGACTAACTTTATAGACCATTGGACTAAACAATTTACCTTCCACTCTGTAAAGTTTAAAAATGTTCAGTAAATCAAAATTAATTTGTTATTGCTGTTGCTGCCCTAAGCAAATGTGCACAGATTATTTATCCGCTGCTGAAAAGTTACTGATCTGAACTTCTGGCGGTATTTGCCAAGATTAGTTTTGTTTTCAGGAGAAACCAGCAAGGCTTAAGAAATAAATTCCAAGTCTCTTTTCAAAATGTGGCTCACTCCTTGTGATGAGTAAGTCCAAGTAAAAGTATGACCTAAATGTCATAACTCACCATATCAAACTATACCCTTCTCTTTGTTGTAGTGGCCAAGTTGGTGGAAAGCTTATTAAGTGCAGGATGTTGGAGAAAATGACATTGGAATGTTTTTTTTATTTCTGCTTTATTGCTGCATGAAGTGCTTCAGCTTACATGATTGGCATTGCACGGCCTGCATTATGACTATTGCACATGTACATGGTAATTGCTATGTTAAAATGATATATCATTTAGCCCTAGCTGTCGCTCAATAAATGCTTCTAAAAAGAATTGCCTAAAAATCCTACAAATGCATCCTGAGAATGGATTTATTCTCTCCTGCCTCTTTCAGCTTCTATAGAGCGGGGCTTTTTTTGTTTTTAAACAGGACACCCATCCAAGTTATTAAATTACTGCTGTAAACTCTCTCTCAACAGAT